GCTGTCGGAACAGTTGTAGTCACCACCACGAAACAATTCTCTACAGATATCACCACCCTCAACCAACTCTCTGTAGATGCCACAACCCCCCAACCAATCCCCTATTGATGTCACTACCCCCAACCAACTCTCTATAGATGTCACCACCCTCAACCAACTCTCTATAGATGTCACCACCCTCAACCAACTCTCTGTAGATGTCACCACACCAACCAAAGCTCTATAGATGTCACCAACCTAATCAACTCTCTATAGATGTTACTACCCCCAACCAACTCTCTATAGATGTCACCACACCAACCAAAGCTCTATAGATGTCACCAACCTAATCAACTCTCTATAGATGTCACCACCCTCAACCAATCCTCTATAGATGTCACCATCCCTAACCAAGTCTCTATAGATGTCACCACCCCCAACCAATCTTCTATAGCTGTCATCACCCTAGCTTACTCTCTATCGATGCCACAACCCCCATCCAACCCTCTATATATGTCAACACAGTTGTAGTCACCACCCCGAAACAATTCTCTACAGATATCACCACCCTCAACCAACTCTCTGTAGATGTCACCACACTAACAAACTCTCTATAGATGTCACCACCCCCAACAAACCCTCTATAGATGTCACTGCCCCAACCAACCCTCTATAGATGTCAACACCCTAACCAACTCTCTATAGATGTCAACACCCTAACCAAATCTCTATAAATGTCACCATCCTAACCAAGTCTCTATAGATGTCACCACCCCCAACCAATCTTCTATAGCTGTCATCACCCTAGCTTACTCTCTATCGATGCCACAACCCCCATCCAACCCTCTATATATGTCAACACCCCCAACCAACCCTCTATAGATGTCACCACCTTAACCAACTCTCTATAAATGTCACAAGTCCCAACCAACCCTCTATAAATGTCTCAACTCCCAACCAACCCTCTATAGATGTCACCACCTTAACCAACTCTCTATATATGTCACCATCCCTAACCAACTCTCTATAGATGTAACAACCTCCATCCAACCCTCTATATATGTCACCACCCCTAACCAACCCTCTATATATGTCACCACCCCTAGCCAACTCTCTATAGATGTCACCACCTTAACCAACTCTCTATAAATGTCACCACCCCTAACCAACTCTCTATAGATGTCACAACCTCCATCCAACCCGCTATAGATGTCACCACCTCAATAAAAGCTCTATAGATGTCACCACCCCCAACCAACTCTCTATAGATGTCACAACCTCCGCCCAACCCGCTATAGATGTCACCACCCCAACCAATCCTCTATTGATGTCATCACCCCAACCAATCGTCTATTGATGTCAGCCCCATAAACAGTCTCCTATAGATGATACCACCCCCAACCAATCCCCTATAGATGTCACCACCCCCATCCAATCCCCTTTTGATGTCACCACCCTAACCATCTCTCTATAGATGTCACAACCCTAAACAGTCTCCTATAGATGATACCATTCCAACCAATCCTCTATAGATGTCACCACCCCCAACCATAACCATGATATTATGAAAGCCAGTGTTGCCAAAATGTCATACAGTATGATTTGTAGGGGCGTCACCATGACAACATTAACATTTTGCTTTGTGTATATGTTTAGTGATCAGCTGTGTAACATACCACCAAACAAACAGGGACATGAAACTTGTTTCAAATTTAAAGTTAAGTTCCAGGGCACATGAACATGAACAGGAACAGGAACAGGAACAGGAACATGCTGGATCAGTTTAGGAACACGTCAAATTCTGTACTTCACTTCCATATAACTTACAGATTGTGCTCTTTTAACCTTTTCACACACAAATAATTACAGTTTCAACCATGTTTTCATTTGAAACATGCGTTAATATTTTTAAGGGTGACAAAAAAAATAAGCACACTAAAATTCTGAAGAACGTGACAGCCACTGGCACTTTCTTTAAGTACACAGAGAATCTTTTGTTTCTTGTCGAGCAGTATCTTATAAGAGAATGATGGGAACCGGGTTCTTTTTCGTATTCTGTCTCCATCTTCAGCAAGTTGGTTATTGTACATATGACTGGCTAAGATGGCTGTGACACCGGTAGTGCAGCGTCTCCTGATGTACACGGTAGTCATCACCAGTAGAGGGGAGAAAGGAAACTGGCATACCTGTGGTTGTTGCAATGAAGACCCTTAGTTCAACTGTAGTTGTAAACCTGTCTCTGACCTGTACATGCTATGCCAGGATGTATTTTAAATACCGTAGTTGGTGCTGTATACAAAACAGATAGACTGAATATTTGGAAATCATATGCTTACATATCTGTCATATACAGTGCGGACGTGAGTGCATATATATTAATGGTAGACAATTATTCCCAAAGTGTGACCCATCACACAATAGTACAGCAGGAACACAAGTGCATCAGAGAAACATGATTGCACCACCACTGCGCATGACTTGCTAGAGATCTTCAAGATTGCACACAGAAGAAGTCAAGCACATAGTCAGAATCAAGATAAAGGAAGCTTATGGGAGCTTGGCGATTCCTGGATGGCAAAGTTGTCAAAGTGACTAGGTCACGAAATGTTGAAAAAATCACATTTGTTGTTAATATAGGTGGAAGCATATGTTCGATTAATCGTGCATGTAGTCTAGAAGAATTCTGAAACATGCACAGCTATGAGACGTGATGACACTGGCGTCTTGGTGCGCCCTTGTACTATCATACACTGGGAAGTATCACAGGCAGGCGTTACAATCACCACAGTGAACCATTAGCAATTCGTAACAGTTACTAAGAGATGTGATGTCATTAGTAATTGGAGGGCAGGGACAGAGAAACATGCTGACTCATGAAGGTCTACATAACAAGTGTACATTTAACAACCCTAGTAGGTTGTGTTTGTTTTATAATATTCAGTCCATTATATAGAAGCTATGTCTGGATCTGATACTGCAATATCACGAACCTATTCTGACATCACATATACGTGTAAAAAAACAATGCTTGTTGTGTACATAAGAAATTGTAATGGTATACTCTACAAAACATGTAGTCGAGGGTGTTCATGGTTATTCTGTGCATGTTTGTCAGTTTAGATATAAAAATAATCACTAAAAGATATAAAGAAAGGAACCCTTAAAGGTTGTCTTTGATTTATTACAAAACTTAAAAAGTCCTCCCTCCCCAGCCTCTTCAATTTGTACAATAAGCCATTTTATATCTTTGCAACATCGCATTTTATAAAGCAGAGAATCTGGTATCTACAACCATGATGCATGTCTTATATTTGTGTTTACAAACTAAACTAGGTGAGAAAATATGCGAAGTTGACGTGTTTTGGAAATTATCAAGCATGTTCATGTGACCGTGAACTTGACCTGTAACAATTTTCATGTCCCTGTTTGTTAACAGTTGGGTTGTATGTTACACAGGGAATCACTAAACATATGCATAAAGCAAAATGTCATTGTTATCTTTGATATATTCACATACTGAATGAACCCGCGAAGGTCCGGGTTAAAATGAACCTTTAGTAACCCATGCTTGTCGTAAGAGGCGACTAACGGGATTAGGTGGTCAAGCTGGCTGACTTGGTTGACACATGTCGTCGGTTCCCAATTGCGCAGATCGATGCTCATGTTGTTGATCACTGGATTATCTGGTCCAGATTCGATTATTTACAGACCGCCGCCATATAGCTGGAATATTTGCTGAGTGCGGCATAAAACTAAACTCACTCACTCACATACTGAATGTCTTTGAAAAGTCCTGGTTGCCATGGTAACGCCCCCCAAATCATAGTGTATGACACTTTTCATTTCACTATAAAGAAATAGTGCCTCTGAGCTCTGAACCTATCTACTTATTTTTATTTTGTGTGTGTGTGTGTGTGTGTGTGTGTGTGTGTAAATTTAATTTGGCCCACACTTGACCTATGCACTTGAAGTTGTTTATTGTTTATGCACACTAGTTGTATGCCAGGGAGACTGATTGACGAGCATCAGTAAACAGTCTCGAGAAGTCATATTTAGTTACATAGCAGCATGACATAATGCATTCTGTGGTATAATTGAAAATGCATGGTAACCATAGAAACGCCCTGAATCCCACGTGTCTTGTACATGAAACATGAAACAGGATGTATAAGGAATGTGGCAGTCAGGGAATCTTGCAGACTGATTGTCATTAATACACGACAAAACAAAAGGACTACTAATACAAAATACGATATACATCAGTCTGTTAACAAAGTTAACGCTTGTCACTGTCTGTTGCCCAACAGTATGGTAGGCGTCGCTTTAATATTGCCACCAACCATGCATGCACCAGACGTAAACGGTGGGTGTGAATATCAGGATGTCAGGGTGATGTGAAAATAAGGTTCTTTCTTGTAGCATATCAAGGGATCTGTTCAGATTTCATGTTTTCATGTATCTGTAACCAACGCATCTACCTACAACGAGAATTGTTCATGTCTGCTGTTTTGATCAACCGGCCGATACGTACACCAAGTAGTGAGAGGTGTCTCTGATTCTTCATGTATGTTGCAGTAGGAAGCTTCATAAATGTGCCTACAATTGACAAGATTACAATTATAGACTCTTGTAGAGGTCGATATCGGTTTTTATTGACCTGAGTAAACTAATATCGACCGAGCTTGCGAGCTTGAATGGTATTTGATAGGTATGTATGAAAGTGGAACTTTGCGAAGAGCTTCACAATTGAAGAGATAGTGAATCGCATTTTCGAATACATTTGACCTGTATAGTATTTAGAATCGAGCTTCCTTGAATAAATATTCCCATCTGCTAGTTTCGGTCATTAAGTTAGCAGTTATTTGATTATAAATGAGCTGTGTCATATTGTTGGTTCCTTGTAGACTGTAGTGTTCAGTAGTCCATTCTGTTGCACTTCTAAACGGCACGAATAACCACTTTAATATCCCAGTATTTATAATTGTCTTTCAGACAACCGTCAAATATGCCCACGCCAAACCCAAGTTGATCGGTGTCGAGACATCATCCAGGTATTCCGGATCCACGCCCCGTGAGGTACATATTATGAAGACAGCGACTCAACTGTGTACATTTTCCTTAAAACACTTCTCTCATCATGGAATTAGCATACGTGATGCATCACCAGCTGATGAACGTCATCAAATCCAACTTACAACATCCCCCGCACGTGTTTTGTCCATGGTGGAACATCGTGGTTTGAGGTACTGCATGCACACACCACTGTGAGGGTTACACACTGTGTCCTTCATACAGCTCTACAGGAATATGTTACAGCAATACGTAAGCTGTAGGAACATTGGGGCGTTTCATTTTATGCTCAGATGGGTTGTTTTAATTTTGTTCGTAAATATTTCGTGTGGGTCTACTATTTAGTATCTGACTGTTTCAGAGGCCGCCCTGTATCCCCATGCAGATCCCGCAGGTGAAACCCCGGACATACAATAGAACGCAGCCTCCTGACGTCACTGTAGTCACCGCCTTTTTCAATCTGGGGCCATTCCAGAAAGGCACCGGAAGGATATTTAATTCTAAATTGTACATGTCGTGGTCAGCAGTGTTCACACATCTGCGAAATCCTTTCATCGTTTACACAGACTCGGTAGACATTGCTGAAAGTTTCTCCAGATGAGAGCCGGTAAGGAAGGTACAACGAAAATAGTTCTGGTGGACAGAGAAAAGCTATGGTCTTTCGGATGGGTAGAGAGGATCAAGCAAATCTATTCAATCCCAGGATACCCAAAGTTCCACCCGAACACAGTCGTGCCCGAATACACATGTGCTCAACACGCCAAATATGAATTGACAGAACAAGCAGTTAAAAGTAATCATTTCAATACCACTTATTACACCTGGATCGATGTCGGTTATTTCCGACTGATCACTGAACGGAAGAAAGAGTTTGTTATAGTAAAACCCCCAAATTTTAACGAATCACGCGTGGCCATGAACCAAGTCTACGACGCGAACATGGACACGCCCCCTGAGACTATCTTCAAAGGAAACCATGTGTGGATTGGCGGTGGGTTTTTCTTCGGATCTCAAGACACATTGCCTTTGTTTATAGCAGATTATCGACAGGCCGTCCAACGCTATCTGGACATGTCCCTCAGCTGTACAGACCAACAGGTACTATTTTCAATGAATACGAACAAAGAAAAGCATATTGTTCAACAAAGAGTGCCTATTCAGCGATTTGTAAACGATGTGCCTGGTGACTGTTGGTTTTTTCTGGGATATGCTTGTTACAGGGAATTGTTACAGTGACGTGCAAAGAAACATATTCATTTTTTTAAATTCTAAAAACCAAAATATACATTTTCATGACACAGAAGTTGATGCATATTTGTGTTATGTTATAAACATGACATCAGCGGGCTGTAAATCTCGTGAATTTCGATTTAACAAACAGAGGAGAGTTTTGCGGATCTGTTTCTTTATACTTCGGAATTTCTGATTGGGTTGGCAAAATCAAAACAAGATAATTTGACCAAGAAGTTTACCTTAAGCTTCCGGTATATCGATGATCTAATATCGTTCAATGACCATGAAATAGTCAATTGCCAGCCACTGATTTACCCACCTGAACTTGAAATCTCTCCACAAGGCTGTATGACAAAAGGGATGATTTCAACTTTCAACTTTGAGGTAAAATCAAGCGTGCTCTTGTTATCAGGATTTCAAAGAGCGTTATACCACTTTTGCTCACAAGTTGATTGATCAAGGTTACAATATTCAAGGCCTCAGGAAAGCTTTCAAGAAGTTTTAGGGTAGACATGTGGAGGAAATTTACGAATTTGATGCATCAGTGACAAAAATAATGTCTGATGCAATTTCGTGTGTTGACTTGTACCATACGTTCTCGAATTATTTAAAGGTCCGGGTTAGAATGTATCTTCAGTAATCCAAGCTTGTCGTAAGAGGCGACTAACGGGATCGGGTTGTCAGGCTTGCTGACTTGGTTGACGCATGTCATCGGTTCCCAATTGCGCAGATCGATGCTCATGCTGTTGATCACTGGTTTGGGTGGCCCAGACTCGATTATTTACAGACCGCCGCCATAAGGCTGAAATATTGCTGAGTGCGGCGTAAAACTAAACTCACTCACTCGAATTATTTCAGATGAACAAATGACTAGACTTAGCATATGTTTATGAACGGGTGCCACAGGTGGGCCAGGATACGCTCACCTTTTCGCGAACACCTGGTATCATCACTATTTCATAGTGAGTCATAAACACATGCTCTGTCATCATATCGCAACGTGACAATCACTGGATTGTCTGGCACTGACTCGATTTGTTTACAAGCATCATCATACAGCTGTAATACTGCTGAAACAGATGTATACCCATGATATAGTCACAACTGTACAATCGACTCTGTTTTTAGCAGATATATCTTATGGACGTGTACAGGGTTTTGCCGCTTCTATTTCATATGTTGTTGTTGCATAATAATCACAAATATTTTCTATACGCCAGTCAAGGTGTGTCTGGTGACATTTGCTTCACACGAGTTGACGACGTGATCTACACGACGGGGACTGTAACAATACGTAACAGTCGGGGGATGTATCTTCACGCATATTCAATAACAAGAGTGTTCCGGCGTTAAACAATATATTAGGGTATCATTCATCCTACCTCCTAGACACCCGTGAAGATCCGGGTTAGAAGTGATCTTCAGTAACCCATGCTCGTCGTAAGATGGGATCGGGTGGTGAGACTCGCGGACTTGGTTGACACATGCCATCGTATCCCAGTTGCGTAGATTGATGTTCATGCTGTTGATCACTGGATTGTCTGGTCCAGACTCGATTATTTACAGACTGCCGCCATATAGCTGTAATATTGCTGAGTGTGGCGGAAAGCTAAACTCAAACTATTTCCTATAATGCCAAACTTCACATAGATAGCAGCAAGCGTTATCCAATGTATCATGTTGACGGCATTACACTTGCTGCTGTAGAGAATGGTATTGTTTCTGTAAACATGGTATCAATCCAAGGGAGGTAAGTTACTCTCAGTGTATTGTAACAAATAAATAATACACGACATAGATCCTCGAGGAAAAATGTGTTGTTTTGATCTGCAATATGGGGAATATTGCTAAAAGTGGCGTAAAACCATACTCACTCACTCACTCACATATCGCTCTGGGTCGATCTTTGTTGCATTGAAGTCGGCAGTGAAGACTGCCCAATGCTCACTAACAGACCCAATATGGGAGTGAGTGAGTGAGTGAGTGAGTGAGGTAAAGTTTATAGTCATATCGGCAGTATTTCAGTCTCTAGGTGACTAAAACTAGTGATAAATTCAAGATAAATGCAGATAATTTTTAAAAACCTGTCGACGATGGATAGTAAAAATAAATAGAATATCACTGAAACAAGAATTAAAACTGGCATTTATCTCTAAATTTTATAGCAATCAGGACAACTCAATATTTAAGAAAACCCGGCTGAGTATCGCCAGCAACTGAAAGTTGATCACCATACTTGGGCCCATGTGGACTTGAAGTGCTTTGCTATCTACATGGACCCTAGCTGGATTTACACCGTCTCTTCAATCCCTGGCGACTGTACTAAGTTTTAGCCATCATTTAAAACATAAAAATTCTACGATTAAAAGTTCGGTAGAGCAAAATTGACCTTGAAGGTTGAGGGACTTACGTACGTACTCAGGAGGACAATAATGTTACAATACTTTATCCCTTCGAGAATACAGCCACTAACAATTTCGGATGCTAATTCTACCGAATATAAAATGCAATGTATCTATGTACAGCATTATCAATCAAAATGTGTGCAATAATTCAATTTCTTTTTAAAAACCAAGACTCTAAGTATTAAATATCAACTTACGTTAAAATTATCGTTCAAGGAAGAAACTTTGAAATAGTCATCTTTTGTGATGGAAAAATCAACACATTTAAGCAGGACATGCTTGACCGTGATTCTTTCATCACAAGACTTTGTGTGCTGGCGATTAGGTGCCTGATTCTGAGGGTGTTGGTTTGAATCCCAGGTGGTACTCAACCCAACACAGGTACTAGAATCTGTACTTTACTAAGAAAGTGTAATCCCCAAATGTAACATATGTTACATTTGACCACTTTCTAAACGGCATTGTGTAATCATAGTTTTCGGCCGTAGGAGCCGTGCCAATTTACATTTATCGGAGGGGTACACAAAGTCCACCGTCTAGACTACCAGTTGTCCGACTTACATTTTGTGGAAGTCGCGGTGGCTGAGCGGGTAAGGCGGCTGACCTTGTGTGCTGTCGATTAGGGGCCTGACCCTGAGGGTGTGGGTTCCAATCCCGAATTGGACTATTTGTCTATATTTATAGTGTTTGTAAAAATATATTTAAGGCGCTGTAATCTAGAGGATATTGTTCTGGATCCAATGACAGTGGCACAAGCAACTGCGCCACCATCCTTGGATCCGTCTGTATGTAACGAATTGTATGTATTATGTTTACTTCGTAATTGATTAAATTCTTCTTCATACTGAATTTGGTTGGTTTCTGATTTCTTGAATGTTGTCAGTGTTAGGTCTACTTGTGGACTCACGAGTTGCCAAGGAGGAGAAGAAACCAGACGGGAAGGAGATATATTTCCGAGCTCAGTGCCAGCAGCAGAAAGGAAGGTTTGATTCTTATTCCTAGAGGTGGAATAAGCGAAGACTTCTTGTTGTACATATATCTTCATACAGTTGATTAAAGACACAGTTATATGCATGGTTGGATTCATTAGAATGTAGTTTAGCGACAGACTGCAAAGATAGTTTTATACGTCGTTGTTTAAGAGAAGGCTCAAGGGCCTCGACGTAGAGACTATCAACAGAAGTTCTAAAGGATCCAAGACAAAGCTTTTAACCTTGCATCCTCGATAATCTCCAGGGTACACGTTCCGATAAATCTCCACTATATCCTGGATGCATCTACGGCTCGAGCCGATGATTTTATTACCTCCCTTGGTTGGCTTTTTATCCAATCAGGTGTCTACGCTGGGAAGTTGAGCGTACCAATCACAACTCACTTTCGCTTTTTAATTATCTAACCGATTAAACTTGGCAACACAATAATATATTGTTGCAGAGGTACTCTGAAAGAGGTAGAAGGAGTTCTTGCATGTGTTTTTCAGACCTGTCAAATTGTCTGTATGTTTTCCCCCTCAAATCTGCCACCGCTATCTTTGTTGACACTGGCAAGCTTGGTTGTAACGCCGGCTTATCTGATTGGATACCGTGAGAATGCGTAGCCAGTAAAGTCATCGGCTCGAGTCGTAGATGCATTCAGGGTATAGTGGAGATTTATCGGAACGTACACCCTGGAGATTATCGAGGATGTAGACCTTGGCGGTAGACATAATCTAATAGTTTCAGGTTGCAGTTACCTTCCCCACCATATACGATGGAGCCGTAATCAAATTTCGAGCAGATGACTGAACTGTATAAGTGTAGGAAGGTAGTTTGAAGTTGAACGACGTTTAACAAGCCAAGTGGCTTAATAAAATCATGACTCTATGAAACTCTTCTACACTAAAAATGTCAAACTAGAGTATAGAGTGATAGCCAATTTGATGGCTTGAAGGAATTCAGCAACAATTCCATCTGAAGCAGGTGATATATGTTTTACTCAATGTGTCATTTGAACTATCAGCTCCTGCTCGGAAAATATTTGGGAAAATTTTCTCATCTGAGAATAACAATACTGGATCTGCTATACTCCCATCGTCATCAACTATGTTAGCATTATCGACAAGTCACAGTAAACTGGAAACGTGTTCATTTAGAAGATAAATAGTTACGTTTGTGAAATTTCCGGATTCATCGTAATCCAACACCCGCAAATTTAGTTTAAAACCGACGGCGTTAGCACCCGCAAATTTAGTTTAAAACCGACGGCGTTAGCCGGAGGTTTTTTAAACGCTTAAATTTGCGGGTGTTGAATTACGATCGATCCCGGAAATTTTACAAACGTAACTATTTATCGATATTGTAAACCATAATTACAGAAAAAACTCTTTCGTAGGGCAGGGCTATCGGTCGCAATTAGGTCAGTAAATCACACGCTGGAATTCGTTGACCTGACAAGGAGAACCTTTCAGGGATTTCCAACACTATTCGACAAGGGTAATTAACCAATCAGATTGCGGAAAACACTCACTATCGGTTTACAATCCATGTTTGACCGGACATAGTGCTAGATCTTTATCCGGCCTGTTGCCCCACAATTCTCCGGAATGACTTAGGATCATTTCTAGCGTCTATCAATCTCATTTTCATCGAAAATGATCGCTTAAATAGTACTCTCAATCCTCTAAAAACTCACAAATATGTCCCATAATACATATAGCTATAGGATCTGTATTTGTCCCTTTCTGCCGATCTGGCTGCAATTGTAATTTTAAAGGAG